TTGCACCTTATACACATCAATTTTCTAGTAGAGCGAACACCCTTTTCTATGTGGGGGATGGGGGAAGGGTATCGCCTGAACCCCCATCCCACCCTGATTACTGTCCTGTATATCCAATTCTGTTATCATAACTTACAAGTCTTCCTCCTCATCTTCCTTTATCTCTGTCCCTATAAATATTAAACAACTATTGCCTGTTAATATAATGATATGAATGTACACTTGGTTTTAACCAACTTTTCATCATGATCATAAACCAATATAGAATAACGTTCATTCCTGTTTTTTTTTAAATGATTATAACCAGTTTCATCGTGTATGCTTCTACAGTATATTCATTACCTTCCTATTTTCTAAGATGTGATAGTAATATCTAACTTATAATTCCTCTGTCTCTTCCTCTTCTTTCTTCCTCATCCTCCTCCTCCTCATCATCTCTCCATCCCTATAAAAATTGATAAAGTATTACTTGTGAATATATGTATATGTGATGTATCTTGCTTATATAATTATTACTCATCAACTTCTCTTCCTATATTCTGATAGTAATATTTAACATGAGTGGAGATCCGTCAACAGATTTACATCGATATTAAGAGATCATGTGTGAAACAACAGAAGTTCCAACGTAAATGTTGCACTTTATACACATCAATTTTCTAGTAGAGCGAACACCCTATTCTATGTGGGGGATGGGGGAAGGGTATCGCCTGAACCCCCATCCCACCCTGATTACTGTCCTGTATATCCAATTCTATTATCATAACTTACAAGTCTTCCACCTCATCTTCCTTTATCTCTGTATATAAATTCCTTTATCTCTGTATATAAATTTGCAAACCCCCTTCAGGAAATATTTTTCTAGATGCCTGAAATACCCTAAAATCTTTTCCATTTTAGGGTAGTAATAGTATGATACAACTTTTACAAAAAAAAAAAGCTCTAATACATGTTATAATCAGGTTACAATTTCCATTTCATCATCTTCCTCCTTTATCTCATCTACCATAATTTATATTTAAAAAAATAAGCAAGTATTACCTGTGAATATATAGATTCTTTACCAACTGTTAAACATGATACCAGATACATCTTGTATTTTATTACTTTAATTTCAACTATCAAAGATTCATGGCAAATCATCCGAAATTAATTTAAATCTATGGATGATATTACTTTATTTATAACTTACACTTCCTCCATTGGTGCGTTGGTTGCGCTGCTCAGTGGCGACCAGGACTGATTTTTTCTGGGTGACTTTGATGTATATTTTGTATACTATTCTGTATTGTGCGTAAGAGTACTAGTAGTAATATTGAGTCTGTTTCAATATGCTTTTTAAACATTACTATTTG